AAATAACACTTAAACTTCAAGGAGTAAACTCATTAACTCCAAAGCATTGGTAAGCACTGGAAAATACTCAATAGTATTCATAATTCAAGTTAAACACACATCAACTCCAAGCAACAAAAAAAGTAAATATTTTAAAAGTTGCATCAAATCAAAACCTGCGAGTAACTTCAAAGATAGAAACCAAGAATACAGCTGCAGAGAGCCCAAAAGGATAAACTAAAAACCAAGAATATGCTATGGGGTATAAAGTTAAGTCAAGAGACTCAATTTCAACGCACAAGTCAAGTCAAAATTGACCAACCTCAAGCAATTACTATCAAGTCAAGTTAAACCGTAGCAACATAATATGTAAACAAGCAATGAACTATGAAGCAAACAGTGAAAGAAGAAACAGCAGGCGGAGCTGCCATTACAGGTCAATCGGTTAAAGAAGAAACTGCAAGCATGCAGAAAAGCAACGACAGTAGAAACCCAAAAAAAACAGAGATAAACTCATAAAATTCTATGAATCAACATCTTAAACAATTAGCAACCAAGTAAAATCATCAAACCCATCAAATCGTTGAAAGTAAACCCATCAAACAAGCTTAACTCATCAAATCTATGAGATCAAAAGCAAAACCTTAGCAAATAAGTAAACTTAGCTCATCAAATCGTTAAACCAGACCCATCAAACAAGCTTAACTCATGGATCTATCTATCATATCTCGGACAATGAAAGCAACAAAAGGTCAATAAACAACATATATGATCTTATTGAAATATTTAATCAACAACTCAAAGTAAATGAAGTATAAGCCCATGATACACATCAACCTGTAACAAGTAAACAACAACTCTAACTGAATCGAAAATAAGTAAACTAATTTAACCAATGAAATGGTAACATAAAACTCATCGATCTAAAGGGAGAGAAGAAGTTTTGAAATGGAGAAACTCATAAAACTCATCGATCTTATCGTAACCTTTTTGACTTTTCGGAGAACGGAGAAATTGATGGAGCTTGATCTCGGAGAGCTTCGTCGCAAACTGAATCACCAAAGGAGTTGCCAAAACCTGAAACCAATTAATTATATATGAGCAAAAAAAAGGTAAAACCCGTCGATTTGGAGACAATATGAAGACAAGTCATAAAATTTTTAAACCCTAACATTTTTCGAAGAACAAATGGAGAGATGAACGGTGAAGGGAATCAGAGAGATGAATAGAGGAATCGCCGAAGGAGACAAGGAGTCGTCGAAATCATGAAATGAACTTTTACAATATTTCCCCAAATTACCAAAATCCTAGAAAACTTTGTCCATTGACCTTCCACATACATAGTTACCAAACCCACTAATACTCATATACACATTTGTTTCTGATTTCTGGCCAGTTAAAACCCATGTGGAAATATGGATCTGTCCGGTTGAAGCCCAATTTTATTTGGACATGGGCAACAATTGGCCAGTCCGACCATTTCAACTCTAAAGAAATCAAATGACAAAATTTTGGAAACCTTAATTTTTTATGACCATTGGGTGGACCATGTCCATATTGTCCAATTGTCTAGTGATTTTTGTCCATTTATAATCCGCATGAACAAATGGTTGTTACCAGAATAGACACATTTACATATGGACATGAACAATCAATGGTCAGCCCACCCATTTGACAGCTATAATTGAGGATGTCGTACCTGCAGAACTGGCCATCGTTCTAAGTATTATGGGAAGAGCTACATCATGGAATCGATGTCCGTGAAGTTATTCATCATGTTCGCATATGTTACAAGTAGTTGATCATTATATGGAATATAATAGACATTATATGATGATGTAATCGATGACTCGATTAGTGTTAAAAAAAAATAGAAAAACAATTCCAATCAGATTGCCACTGTTTTGTAATCCTATGTCAATTGGTTTAGATATTATACTTTATCTAGATTTAATTTTGTATCTACTAACCAATGAATGCAATATATTTACTATTTTTATATTTTGTTGGATAACCAAGTAAGAAAACAAATAAAAAAATAGTTAGCAATAATATTATAATTTGTTATAAGTTTGTAATTCTAAATCTCAACATATTATTAGAAGAAAAAAAATGTAGACTATGTTTAACGGTTTCACTTGTCAAAACAATGTAAATAAAAAGAATGTGTAGAATTAAAGGAACGATAGTTAATGGAATTCAATAGAATGAAACTATTTTTCGTTTATTTCAAAACTATTTTGACGTACAATGATTTTTAAAATGAATGTTTTTATGTTTTATGTGACAAGGGAAAATATGAAAAGATATAATCCCTCCGTTTCAGAATACTTGTCATTCTAGGCTTAATTTTTTGTCACAAATTAAGTGTCGTTTTAGAGTTTCGAGGAAAAATTTATTAGTTTTATATAATAATCTATTTTTCTATTGGTTGAAAAGTGGTTAAGTGTATAGGTAATTGTGTTTTTATCTTGAAAATATGTAAAATTAAATGTTTTCTTAATCTGTGTGTAAAAACCTAGAATGACAACTAAAGTGAAACGGAGGGAGTTTTGCAAAACCAACCTAAAATTTAAGTCAAACACAAAACCAACCTCTTTTTTTGTCATTACTATTCACCATTAAAAAGGCCAAACCCTCCTCATTTTTTTCAACTATTTACAAAATTGCCATTTTTATATAATATTTTATTAATTTCGAAAATGCCAAAAAACCTATTACACCCTAAACATTTCTCCTTATTTACAACAATGCCATTATCATCAATATCTCCAACGACCATGAACCACCATTGATGAGCTCATAAANTTACTATTCACCATTAAAAAGGCCAAACCCTCCTCATTTTTTTCAACTATTTACAAAATTGCCATTTTTATATAATATTTTATTAATTTCGAAAATGCCAAAAAACCTATTACACCCTAAACATTTCTCCTTATTTACAACAATGCCATTATCATCAATATCTCCAACGACCATGAACCACCATTGATGAGCTCATAAAGCTCAAGATATGAATTGTCAACCACTTATTTCACTTTCTAAACCAACAATACTTCATTTCCTCTCATTTCCTCTCTATTTTCATCTAAACAATCCTCATAACTCTCATTTTTATAAACGCAAACTTCATAGTTTCGATTTTATTCACAAGTGAATCGTAAAAGGTGCTTCTTTTGCTCATATTTGGATTCTGGACGGTGAAATAGCTTGGAAACAAGCTTTAAACCAGAAAAAGGTAACTATTTACATGCTTTTCGTCATATCTTTGATCTGTATCGCGAAAGTAGACTGTATTATATGTCTACACTTACGTGTAGACTTACGATGCAGTCTACTTGTCAACGCACATGTTACTTTTGCAATTGACCAAAATAATTTTTTTTGTAATGTAGACCTACAAGTACGTCAACGTATTTATCTTTGAAACCAAAAAAAAAAATGGTAGACTTACTAAGAAATCTACATAAAAGAGGTTAGTTTTGCATTTGACCAAACTTTTGACTTACTATAGTAGACTTTCTTGGAAGTCTACACTTTGTAGACTACTAGGGAAGTCTACTGAATGTCAGTTTTGCATTTGACCAAAACTTTGACTTCGTTGAATAGGTTTCTTTTGTATTTGACAAAAATGTTTAGAAACTGACCAGAACTTATTTTACGTGTAGACTTCATATGTAGTCTAAAAATCTCAGGAAAAAAAGTAAACTGTATATGAAGTCTACTATTTTATCTTGGTCAATTGCAAAACTAACATGTCGGGTTATAGTGTAGACTTTTACTGCAGATTACGGATTTGTAGACGTTTTGTTTAGTCTACTCGTAGAAAGTAAAACTTGGTCAATTGCAAAAATAACCTCTTTCAAACAAATTTAAAATTGTAGACTGAATTGTAAATCTACTTTTAAAAGTCAAATTTTGAACGAATTCAGGTCAACTGCAAAACTAACATTTTTTAAAACGTAGACTAAAAAAGAAGTCTACTTGTATAAAATCACAATTTTTTTCAAATAGAGAAAGTAACCCGTGAATTTTCAATTGCAAAAACCAACCTAAACGTAGACCTATAAGACAGTCTACAAAATGTAAACTGAAAAAATGTCTACATTAATTTAGACTGAATACGCAGTCTACATAGAAAAATCTATTAAAAAGTGGATTTGTGTATTGTTCATTAAGTTTTTTCAAATTTTTTTTGTATGAAAGTGTGTGTTAGTTAATCATAAGGGTCCTCAATGATTTTCTTTCGATAATCTGTTATAATCATGAAATTAACACATTTTTGGTTTGTCTATGTTGTTAGCTTAAAATTTGTAGACGTACTTGTAAGTCTATGTTAAAATTTTTGGCTTAACTATATTGTTTGCTAATAATTGTAGACGTACTTGTAAGTCTATTTTATAATTTTATCAAACATGAAATTTTTGTTTGCTAATTATGTAAACCATATTTTTTTTGCAGGAGATGGCTCAATTATTCGTTGTATACAGAGAATGGGTGGTGAAAAACTCTAGATGTGTTAGTGTTATGTGTCGAACTTATGAGTTGTCTTATTGCTATGGATGTTCTATTATGTATTAGTGTCTCATTGCTTTGAGTTGTCTTGTATTGGATTTGTAGGTCTTTAGTCTGTGTTGAACTTATAAACTATATTGTTGCTTTGGATGTTGTCTAATGTGATAAACTTATGTTATATTTTTCTTTGTCAAGTAGACTTCTTTGTAAGTCTACAAGAAAGAAGATTAATAAGTAACAAGAATTGTTTGTCAAGTATACTTATATACTTGACTCTATACTTGACAAAAAGCAGTGGGATAACCAATAAAAAAACTTTCATAAGAGCATGATTATCCCACAACCATATTTTGGGTACATTAAACAAAATGGAAGTTTCAAACAAAATTGAAGTTCCAACTTCTTCACTACTCTCCACATTCCTCGTCTCACTCCAAGCTTTGCAATCTCCCATGGTATCCCCATGTCTTCATGGTGAAACAATATCACTTCACATGCACTTGTTACTCCATCGTCTCTTCTTGACTCCACTACACAAAGTGATATATAACATCATTAAGCTATGTTATTTCAATGTTTGGATAATTACAAAGAAATTTTACCTGGTCCAATGCACCTGCTAGAGTAAAACAAGTCTACACGTTTTTGTTTGTTGTTACGTGGTAAACAAGGAACAGATACTCCGTGAAGCAAGAACAAGAGATGATCATTAGAGTGTAATTAAAACAACTGTTACACTTATACTATGTGCTCTCCAATACCTTTGTAACATAGTGATAAGTTTCGCTACAGTTCCATATCCTCCGACCAATTACATACTCTCTATCACTACAGAAAAATGGGAACTGCAACGTATCAAAAAATAAAGTCAAACACACAAAGTGAAAAACATTGGTAAACTGCTAAACAATTTGGATGTTCCAAATCATCCACTGAACTATGCACAACAAATAATAATCATGATATCATTCATGACAGTGATCAAGGAATTCAATCAAGAAACTTTAACATAACTCAAGAAAGCATTTCAGAAAAATAAGTGATCCTGAATAGAGTAGCGCAAGTCTATAAGGTGTCTACGAGGGAAGCTATCAAAACATCTAAAAATTAAGCCTTGTGAACCAGAAGTACGAAACAAGATAAAACCTACGACCAGAATAAGGAGTAAAACAAGCTTAAGCTAACCCAATGCATCCAACTATATAATAAAAAATCAGTGGTTCTCTATACAGAATCTAAGACAATGCATCCGAAAATATAATGAACAATCAATGTTTCTCTAAACAAAATCTGAAACCTAAAATAAACTTTCCACCAAGAAGGTTACAATGAAGAGATTCAATTATCTACAACTATCATCACAAATCATAAAATCACATACGAACAGTAAAACATAACTGATTCAAGCCCAATCAGACAACAACAGCAACAAAGGACGAGACTTAATAGCGAAATGAAATGACTTACCGCCTTACAGAGCTTCTTAATCAGAGCCATTGGCTTCCTGGTCAAACCTCTAGAAAACCTAAAACCATTTTCAGACAAGTAAAAAAATGTCACAACAAACCTAAAACATATCCATTACAGAACATCATCTACGGGCGGAAGTCTCTTTAATCAATGTATTTTACCTTCTGCGAATACGAGAAGATAAGAGCTTGACAAGGTCATCAGTAGACATATCGGGAAGAGGTGAGTGATAAGACTTCCTCTAGAGGCTCACCGAGCCGCTGAGGCAAACCGAGTTTCGAGTTCTTGTCTTCATCATTCTGGGAGCAACCTGCAACAAAAAGAGCCAGGAAATCAATAAAACACAACACATGCTTGTACACTACAAACATGTATTAACTCATAACACTTCATCAATTTTCGTCAACGACATATGCATTTCAATTTACAGCAAATAAATTGAACATATGCAAACCCTAGAACGTAAATTGAACACTTTAATCAAAACAATAAGAGATGCAGAGACTCTTTATAAACACATAGAGAGAGAGAGAGAGGGAGAGAGAGAGAGAGAGAGAGAGAGAGAGAGAGAGAGAGAGAGAGAGAGAGAGAGAGAGAGAGAGGTAGGAGAGTAATGGTGATGACGAGGAGGAGATGAGGAGGAGACAAGGTGGAAAGTAATGGTGGAGATGAGGAGGAGACGAGGCGGAGAGTAATGGTGGTGACGAGGAGGAGATGAGGAGGAGACAAGGTGGAGTTAGCTGAAGGATGAGAGAGGATACTGGTGATGGTCGTGGTGGTGAATGGTGATTCCGAGAGGAAGGTGGCTGGGTGTGAAAACGGAGTCGAAGAGGGTTTGCCAGAAATCGCCCCCTAAACCGCCTTAGATCTAAATTGCGTGATTAGGATTCTTTTTACCAGAAAACCCTAAAAAGTATTTATATGCTGTGTAATTTTTTCGGTTAGGTTAAATTGGTTAATGTAGACTGAAATAGACGTCTACATATAAGTAGACTTTACTGTAAGTCTACTATACCCTAAATATTGGCACCAATATGGAAAAATAGGCTCCAAAAGTCATTTTCATTTCCCGCTTAGTTAATTTTAATTTTAAAATAATTTATTTTGGTAAACACAAATTAACGTAGACTGAAATTGACGTCTACATATAAGTAGACTTCACTGTAAATCTACTATACCCTAAATATTGGCGCCAATATGGAAAAATAGGCTCCAAAATTCATTTTCACTTCCTTCTTAGTTAATTTTAATTTTAAAATAATTTATTTTGGTAAACACAAATTAACGTAGACTGAAATAGACATCTACATATAAGTAGACTTAACTGTAAGTCTACTATACCCTAAACCAGAAATTTCAAACTCTAAACCCCAAATCTCAAATCCTAAACGTTTGATTAATTATAAAAAAAATCTTAGTCAATGTACTAAATATCATATATACAAAATATAAACTACTCAACATTAAATATCCAATTCTGAATCATTAAAACAAAATAATTCTAAATCTAGAATCTAACCCTAAGAATCTAACTCTAAAAGACATGTTTACCACATAGTTCTCAAATCAATATACATTCTTTTAAATTGTTCAGTTATAAGAAAATTTAATTTATATACCTCATACTGACCTTTAAATTGATGATTTATTAAAAAAATTACCAAAAAACATTTTTTCTACATTTTTAAAAATTAAATTATTTGATTAAATTAAGATGTAGACTAAATAATAAGTCTACATTAGTCTACACAGTAGACGTTAATGTAAGTCTACCTAGTTGTAGACTTCTTTCTTAAAGTGTAGACCTACGAAGGACAGAATCGTAAAATATATTCCACGTTTTTTGTTTGTTCATAAGGGTTAAATAATAGTTTTAACACTCATTTAAGTTGGATTTGCAATTGATTGAATATGGGGTACATCTTTAGTGTTAAAATGAATATTTGGGTTGGTTTTGGCAATTCCCCAAAAAAAATATTTCAAAAGATACATTCTAGGTGCACTCACACACGACTTGAGTACGGCAACATGAAAAAACTGTTTTCTTTTTGCAAGAAGTTCAAACCATATTTAAAAAAAAAAGATTTACAGCTAGGGACAGTTTCTATGTTTAAAATTACACGCTGAGACACTTCTTACTACTGAGGTAGTTTTTCACACTAACCTATACATAGTGCTCATAAAAATGACAAACTTGCCATTTTATTTTCTTAACCAAAAAATATATTTATATAGCTATGCAATAAAATATTCTGTCACCATTATTGTCATCTTTATCTCTTCTCTCGTGATTCTCTTTTGAGGAAAGTGATTCACAATTAATTCTTGGCATTCTCGTGACATTTTCGTTTTTCAACAATCTTTCCGGAATCCACATTTGTTTCAATTAGATTTTTAGATTCACTACAACAATCTTTTTCGGTTCTTTATCTTATTATTTCTTAAATTTAACGCTCTACAAATAGAGATTTTGGATTATAGAGGCATTATTATACCGACAGACGGTGGTGCCAATCTTGACATGTTTTTTCGATGGAGATCGAGATTGGATTCGTCCAATGGAATCCTTTCTGATTCCATAACGGTTTCGATGCTTTCCCGTTGAATGATGCTGGACAGTTGGATCTTCGGTTGACGTTAGGTATCGAGTTTCTTCTATTATTGAAGACGCTCAGGGAACAATGAATCTAGCAAGAGAAAACAAAATTAAGGATTCTGGTGATAGGAGAGGAGGCAGAGAAGCAGGAGGAAACGTCGAAGTATGGTATACTTATCAACCATCAGTTCCAACTCATCAAAGGATGAGGAAGAGTCCACTCAGCTCTATCGCCATTTTCAAACATGTAATCTCAGAGAATAATTTACTGCTTCTTTCTCTTGCTTCAAACTTTTGATCATGAGGCCTTACATTTGTTGTTTTGCGAGAAGGTGACTGTGAATTTTAAAGAAGACCAAAAGAACCAAGAGAGCAAGGAAGGAAATAAAAAGTGCAAGAAGAACAAAGGTGAATGAAAAGAGAAAAAAAGAAGAAGGTAAAGAGTGATGGAGAGACTGAATCTGACTTCTGAGGAAATGACGAACAAGAAAAAGAGTAAATCAAAGCAGATTATAGCTTGAAGTTGTTTTATAGCTTGTAGACAATTTTATGATTTTTTTAAGTTTCGGATAAGTGGAGGCCAAAAGTCATATGTCTTAAGAAAGTTAATTATCTTTAGACGTTTGAAAGTCTGATGCTTTAGTACATAGAAGTGCATAATTGCTATAGAATGAAGTTCCTTTGATCAAGAAAATAGTTCATAGTCTTGTTTAGTTCAACTAGACTTGTGCAAGGATAGATAATCTGTATGTAAGACATGCTTTTTGTTGTATGGTACAATGACTCGCTAGAGCTCATTTCATTTTTTTGTTTTTGTACATGTGTACACTAATACGCATGTACATATCAGTGCCTTCTTCATATGTATATTCTCTTTTCTTGTGTGATTAATGAGATATTATAAAACTAGGTATGATTCTTTTTGGAACCCATGTATGTGTTGCTATTGTAGTGGTGTTGCTACGTATATTAGATGTGGATACTGTGCAACTATATATCTTAAATAAGTGTACATGTGGATATTATAATAATGGTGTACACATGGATATTGTGAACTAATGTACATATGGATACAGATGTACATGTGGATAGTGAATATATGTACATATGGAACATAACAAATGTACACCATTAAAGATGTACATGTGGATACATATGTACATGTGCTGCAATTCACTAGTAATAGGTCGTTTTATGGATTTTATTTTGTTTTTCTTTTTGAAACAAAGCTAATGAATGCAAACTTTGTACACATGTACACAAAAGGCACACGATGTAATTGTGTCCATAATTAGAGATATATGTACTCAAAAACTCTGTTGTAATTAGAGATATATGTACTCAAAAACTATGTTGAATATTTTTGCACCTTTATATGTGTATAATATCCATGTGTACACTAAACTATGTGTACACTAATCTTATATTGTACATGTGTACATGGTATATTCAAGTGTACATGTATGTACACAAGTTAATCTACATATACAATATGAGTGTACTAATGCACATGGAGTCTCTTAACAAAGTATGCATATGTATACAATAGTGTGGCATACACTTGTATACATGGACAGTTTTTTTGTCTATCATTGAGTGTTCATAAGACATATTCAATCTGAGAGCCATGACCTTTTATCTGAGACAACTTATCTTGTAGACACATTCAATCTTGTTAGTTTAAAACCGATATGTTTTGTGATTCTTGCAGCTTTATGTGTGTACAATATCCATGTGTACACTAAGTTGTGTGTACATTAATCTTATATTGTGCATGTGTACATGGTATATTCAAGTGTACATGTATGTACACAAGTTAACAAATTTCTACATATACAGTATAAGTGTACTGTACATATGAAATCTCTTAACAAAGAATGCATATGTATAAAATATTGTGGCTTACACTTGTATACATGAAAAATGTTTTTGGTCTATCATTAAGTGTTCATACGACATATTCAATCTGAGAGGCATGATCTTTGCTCTGAGACAACTTATTTTGTAGACACATTTAATCTTGTTAGTTCAAAACCGATATGTTTTGTGATTCTTGCAGCTTTATATGTGTACAATATCCATGTGTACACTAAGCTGTCTGTACATGTGGATACAGATGTACATGTGCTGCAATTCACTCGCAATAGGTCGTTTTCTGGATTTTGTATTGTTTTTCTTTTTGAAACAAAGCTAATAAACGCAAAGTTTGTACACATGTACACAAAAGGCACACGATGTAGTTGTCTCCACAATTAGAGATATATGTACTCAAAAATTCTGTTGCAATTAGAGATATATGTACTCAAAAACTCTGTTGAATATTTTTGCATCTTTATATGTGTATGATATCCATGTGTACACTAAACTATGTGTACACTAATCTTACATTGTACATGTGTACACTAGACACATTTAATCTTGTTAGTTCAAAACCGATATGTTTTGTGATTCTTCCAGCTTTATATGTGTACAATATCCATGTGTACACTAAGCTGTCTGTACACTAATCTTGTATTGTACATGTGTACATGGTGTGTTCAAATGTAAAGAATATCTACATATACAATATGAGTGTACTATACATATAGATTCTCTTAACAAAGAATGCATATGTA